GAGCTTTTCTGGGTCTGGCAGAGACAGGGCGGGGGCCTGGAGAAGAGCTTCTTTTAGTCTGTCAAATGCTTCTTGTTGTTCCTGACTCCATTTCCAATCTGGTCCTTCTTTGGTGGCTTCATACAGTGGAGAGGCTATCTCTGCATACCCTGGGATCCAGAATCTACAAAACCCAGCTGAGCCAAGGAATTACCTCACTCCCCGGGGAGAGGAGGGCACAGGAATGGTCAGGATAGTCTGTTTTATGGCTTGTGTCAGCCATCTGGCTCCTTCCGCTATCTTGTACCCCAAGTAAACCACTGACCTCTGGCAGATGTGCGCATTTTTGGCGCTGGCCCGATATCCTAGGCTGCCCAGTTCAGCCAACAGGTTCCTTGTATCTTCCATGCACTCTTCACAGGTTGCTGTAGCCAGCAACAGGTCATCCACATACTGCAGCAGAGTCATATGGGGGTGCCTTTTGCGGAAGGGCTCCAGTCTTGGCTTAGTGCCTCATTGAACAAGGTGGGAGAGTTCTTAAAGCCTTGTGGCAGTCTGGTCCAGGTGAGCTGCCCTGTCTTCCCCCCTCCTGGTTCTTGCCACTCAAAAGCAAACAAGGGCTGACTGACTTCAGCAAGAGGGACACTGAAGAAAGCATCCTTCAAGTCTAGGGTGGTGTACCACACATGAGACGGTGGCAGGTGGCTAAGTAGGGTGTATGGATTGGGCACCATGGGGTGAATGTCCTCTACCCTTTCACTTCCCCTTCGCAAATCCTGCACTGGTCTGTAATCTCCACTGCCAGGCTTTCTCACAGGAAGCAGGGGTGTATTCCATGCTGATTGGCAGGGTTTAAGGATTTTTACTTCTAGCAGTCTATGGATGTGAGGTGCTATTCCCTTCCTAGCCTCTTCTGGCATCAGGTACTGCCGGACAACCGGGGGCAGGTGCTTAGTGAGGCCAACTTCCCCAGTTTTGGCCCAGGTGGGAGGGAACTCCTGCAACCAGGAGCTTATGTCTCCCTGGCCCCCCTTTTCTAGAGCTGCCAGGAATAGGCGATATTCATCAGCCAGAGATAAAAACAACACATGTACTGGCTGCAGGGGCTGTCCTTCTGAGTCCATGACTTTTATCCCTTTAGGCTCAAAATGGATATGTGCCCCGATTTTGGTGAGTAAGTCTCTACCTAGCAAAGGTGCGGGACTCTCAGGCACAACCAGGAAGGAGTGGGAAACCTGATGCCTTCCCAAGTCCACTTTCCTGTTGGTGG